GGGACAGAAAAGTACTTACAGAAATAAAGATTAAAATTTTTCCAAATGCTTAAGTAAGACTGTGAACTAGTTACCTGCTTACATTTAAACATGTAGATAACCATGACAGCAACAGCTACAAATGTAGGCCATTGTAGAAGGTGATTCAAATTCATATATCATGAATGGTTTCCTTTCTTGGGTGGGACTGTCTGATATATTTCAGGATGTTCATCAACCCTAAATCTCACCCCCAAAAATGTCAGTAATGCCTCCCATTCACTGCACACAAAACACAAAAATCCCTCCCTACAATGTGGTATCACTTCTCTGAGAGCCACTGAGCTACAACAGATCAGGGCCGGCAAGCTATGGGCTCCATTTGTATGGCCTGTGAGCGAAAATAGTTTTACATTTTTAAAAGATTGTTAAGAGGAAGAGGAGAGAGGAGAAGAAAAGAAAAATGAAGAGGAGGACAAGTAAAAATAGTAGGAGAAAGAGACCGAAGAGATGAAATAAAGGGAAAGAGACAGATTATAAGTGGCCCCCAGAGCAAAAAATAAGATGTCGCTGATCCCTGGTCTAGACTTCAAAGGGAAAAGGATATCACATGGTCCATTTTCACAAGGTGTTTATAACCTAATGGGGAATTTATACATTAGGATTCAGCCCAAGAAGCAGAACCATGACAAGTAATATGCAATAAGGGATTTATTTACAAGGATTAGATGATGTGTAACTGTAGGAGCTGGTGAAGAAGTCCACGGGAGACTGATGCCTTTGCGCCTGGTGGGGGCCAAAGGTCACTGCAGGTAAACAATGCATCTATCTCGAGTGAAGCTACACATGATGCTGGGGAAAGCAAGGACAGATGGAAACCCACCAGAGCCAACTGGAACCCATGAAAACAAACCACAGTCCATGTCTTTCTCCCCACCTTCAATATCATTGATAAGCATGACCTGAAGAAGCTGATGCCCTCGGCCACTGAGCTGCACACATGTGCCATCCTCTACATGTTCTGACAACACCGTGGGTTGGCCCTGCATTGCCCCATCACACAATCCTACAGTTGCCTGCTGCCTTGTCTGCGTCCACTGCTGGGCTCTGAGCCGTGGTGGTGGAGACTCCATCTGTCATGTTCATCATTGTGTTATCCTTTGCTCCTAGCACAGTACTTGACAGAGTAATTGCTCAAGGAATACTTTCTAGATGAATAAATGAAAGATAAACCAACATATGAAGTGAAAATCAAGCTGAGCAGAAATGAAGCAGGTGGTTCATTCAAAGGAAGGATGCTCCTTTATTCTACAAGTTCGAATTCTAATTTTAGAGGTGTTGTGGTGACTTCGTGTTATTTTGCGAGGCTTTGGTGACAGGCAAAAGCAATTCTCTTTGTAAACAGGAAGAGTTCGCCCAAAGGGTGTGTACTTCACTACACCAGTCCTTGGGAAGTGATGGTGCACGTGATTGTCCCTCACACCAGAACGCTAAGCTAAGCAGGAGATCTGCACTGGGAACCATCTGGCAGGAAAGAAACAGCATGCCCTATACATCAACCATATTGGGCAAGAACTAAAGAATGTCTGCCATGTGAAGACTGAGCAGGACACAAGAAAGAAGGTATCAGGGAAGATGTCACCAATACTTAAGGACACATCATGGTTATTATCATCACTAAATAACAGCTGATGTTTAGAGTATTTAACCTGCCAAGCTGACCATTCACATACATTACTTCAGGTGATCTTTACAATGAAACCTATAATTATCACCATTGTATAGATGGGGAAATTGAGAGGCTATTTGTCCAAGACAGCAGAGCTAGTCCAGAAATGGAATGCAAACCAACACAGTTCTCATCCAGAGACCCACTACTGTCTATTCTTGGAAACTAGGTTAGTCCTGAGAAAACCAGAGTCTACATTTTATTTTAAAAACAGAAGCAGCTCCCTATAGCCGGTATTTAAATGATTCTAGAAAACATTGGAAATCTATTCCAGGATTAAAGTTTGAAAACTATTGAACATAAAATATATACATATATTTGTATATACCATGTGATATGGTATGTAATATCATACTGATTAAGTGCTAAATGCAGTGAATTAGGAAATTCAGACAAACAAAAAATATCCAACATTATATAAAATACCACCTGCTTACTTAACAGGTATTAACAAAGTGATCTATTAATTAAGGTATTAGAATACCCAAATCTAGTTTTACCTAAAATCTCTATATGTTCTAGGTGAATAATAATTTTTGAACAACAATAACCTGAATAATATTTAGATCCATCTAAACAAATCAGAGCCCAATATATGTAACACCTTTTTACACACATCAATATTACAGATACAATAGGATCAAATTAATTTCATGAGATACTAAGATGACTAAAACTTGGTCTCTATCTACATAGGGATTCCAGAGACTAGCGACACCAAAACTTCTGCAAAGAGCTGCAGAATGAGACAAAAGATAATGAAAGCCCAATCTACAACATAAGAATGGAAATTGAATTTAGTAGGCAGATCAGTTTTAGTAAATATATTTCTTAAAGTGAATTTTTTCTGTTTAGTTTCTTTCATAAGTTTGTTCAATTGAGACTTATCCTAAAATGAATTTTCTTCTCATAAGCACAGAATTTATGCAATTACCCTATCCCTGATCTCACTAAATGTCACCACTTTTCATTCCAAAATACAAAACAATATAAAACAATTTGTGGGATGGGACCTGCAGCATGTTGGGTCTTAGTTCCCAGACCAGGGATCAAATCCATGCCCCCTGCATTGGGAGCTCAGAGTCTTAACCACTGGATTGCCAGGGAAGTCCCTAAAACATAAAATTTTGAAACATAAAATGTCTTTGGAACTTCAACTAAAATTTTAAAGGTGTAAAGAGCTTCATTCATGCCAAAATAAGACTAGATTTAAATTTTTAGATGAAGTATTTGATTGGTAATTTTATATTTCTATAAATACATGGGAAATAATCTCATTTTTAAAGTTGTAAGAAAATGTTACATTTACATTTAGGAAAAAATTACATTTCCCAGACTCATGCTTATCCTAATAATACTTTCTCAACAGTTAGCTCAGCTCTTAAAGGTATCTTAACTAAGCTCTGCCCCTCTGCAAATAGTATTATGAATATTTGCTAATATTCAATAGTCCAAATAGTCTTATCTCTGGAAATATCTCTAAATATTATAAAAACATTGCCTGTAACCACAAGTTCACAAATGTCAAATTCTTGAAGACAGTCCATATTCTTCCACAAAAAATGCAATTTAAAGAAAAAGAATTGATGAAACCTAAAAGAGACAGAAGAGACTATATCAACCGAATATAATGTGTAGCCCTTATTTGCATCTAAATTCAGACCAGCCAACTAATCAAAAATTGTTTTGAGAGAATACAGGATATTTAAGTATAGCCTGGATAAATTGACACTATTAATGAATTATTTAGATGTGGTGATAATGACACTGTGGCAACAATGATGTAATTCTTATCTTTTAGAGAAATTTTCAAAAATATTTGTAGATAGAATGATAAGATATCTGGGGTTTGATTCAAAATAATCCAGTGGGAGAGGACTGTCAGAGGGTAAATATGAAACAAAACTGGCCTAACAAAGAGATTATATAGAGGTTAATTATGTTAATCTCTTTATATGTTTGGAAGCTTCCATTATAGAAAAATTTTAATAAATGAAAAAATAAACAGCTTGAAATATGGCACAATGTCTCTTATACAACAGATACCATGAATAACATAATACAGTCACCTTAATTTTAAGAACTATGGGTCATAAGCATGGCTTTGAATACAGACATAGTTACTGGTAGCAAAATGACAGTATCTAAAGAAAAGGAATGAATTAATTTAATCATGCTTAATTCAATCTCATTGTTCTTGCCTGAAAAGAAACTGCTTCACTGTTAGAATAAATCATAACTATCCCCAAATAGACTTAATTACTGATTTCAATAAGCATACCCCAAATTCTAAGAACAAATAAGAAAAGGAAGTTTATAACTAAGTAGTTCTTTTATAAGCATTCATTTTAACATATAAACCTTAATTATGTTAAGACAGCTGAGCAGCAGGAAGCCGGTGTTACTGAACCTCAGACTGGGTCTTCAAATCGTTTTACTTTTCCTACACCTAATTTTCCGGTGGGGTTTTTTTTGTTTGTTTGTTTGTTTGTTTTGAGGGGAGGGAAAATTTTGGTATTAATAGTTACCACTTATTTAAGTTCTTTACAGCTAGTGGTGTATATGAACTCAATTAATGTTTAAACCCACTTAAATAATATCAGTGCTGATATGAAAACATGGCCATTAAGACTAACCTATTTTTATAGAAATTACAAGGTGACATTAGCAATTAGAGTAATTTTACGATTCAGACTGGAATCGTATATTAACGTGGGACGACATTTCTGAACATTCTTCCTAAACGCTGGGAGTTGCGGGGATGAGAACTAGAAGTTCCTCACACTTTCAGTAAAATGTGAAGCAGGGTGCAAATTATTAGGAAACGAAATTTGCTCTATTTCCCTCCCCCAGCCTTTGTTAATTCTTATCGTCGTTTGATTCTAATTATCGTATCGTCCGCTGTACCCCTAGGTTTTCTAGAGTCCGTTATTTCATCCATGTCAAAATGAATGAGAGGGAGTGTCTGGTTTAGGCAGATGTCTGGTTTAGGAGCTGAGAGAGGTTCCTGAGTCATTAGCTACGCTCCCTTGAATAAGCAAGTACCACACACCCACCGTACGCAGGAACGGGGAGAAAGTCATGCTATCGCGGTGCCACGTCGCACCTACGTGGGGCGTGCAGGCCACCGGCAGGCCCCCAGGCTAGCAGCCTTCGACCGCCTCGGGGTCCAGTCCGCCCAATCCACAGACGCCCTCCCTCCTCTGCGGGGGCCCCACCTGCACTCCTATTCCTGCCGGGTGGGGGTGACCGAGGGCTGGTCCTTCCTCAGCCCGGAGTCCCCACCCCTCCATCACCTCTGAGCAGGCTCCCAACAACCCGAGGACATCAGGGTCCCTTCCGCGCTGTCAGGCTCCAGGACCCGCGCGGAGCGCGAGGTGGAGCGCAGGGTCAAGATTCCGAAGAGGAACCGGACTTGGCTGGGCAGCGCCGGGCGTACCTCCACCTCCGAGATGGGCGGGCGGCTGGGGAGGAGGCAGCGGCTCCGGGACTGCAGGCGGATGGATGGGGTCCCGTTACCTACCTGGAGGGTGCCTGGGTTCCTGGAGACCACGAGGGGAAAGAGCGAAAATCCTGCTGAGGAGGAAAAACTCACTCTAAGGACTCTCGGCTGACTCCTCACTGGCGACCTTGGGTTAAACTAAGTCCTCTAGTTCAGCGTGGGCTGGGCATGGCCAGTGCCGGGCCGCGCCTTGACCTTCCCTCCGCACCGCCCAGGCGCTTCCTAGCTTCCCAGGGAAACGCAGAGCCAGGCTGGGGATGGCACGGCGCGTGTCCTTGGGGCATCCGGCTCTTGAGAAGAAAAGGCGCCTCCTGACGCAGGGGGCCAGAGTCCAGAAGCCCGGATGTAGGCTCCAGGACCCGGGTCGCCTCAGCCTCTGAGGCCTACTCGAGGCCCAGGTATTATAAGATGGCAGACGCCCACGGCGGTTAGTAGTTGAGAGAGCCGACAGAGCCCGGTGCCACCGCCTAAGGTCCTCGGGCGAGTTTCCTAATTTCTCGAAGTCCAAATTTCTTCTTTATATGATGGAGATTTCATTGTGTCGTCTTCTTTGGGTGCTAGGAAGGTTAAAGGGAAATCAATTGCCCTGCAGACAGGGAGCAGGAGATCAGTATTAGCCACTATTGTTAATATTATTAGTGTTATTATTAGCGGGCTGGACCCGAGGGCTTGCCTGGTGGCTCAGTCAGTAAAGGATCTGCCTGTGATGCAGGAGACTTCGGGTTCGATCCCTGGGTCAGGAAGATCCCCTACAGGAGGAAATGGCAACCCACTCCAAACAGAGGAGCCTGGCGGGCTACAGTCCATAGGGTCGCAAAGAGTCCGACACGACTTAGCGACTACACCACCACCCCGGGGAAAGTGACTTTTCCTTGTTTTTTCTTCTGCCCTGGTCTCTCTATGACTCCCAGCTCCTTCTCACTGAGCTCCAGCCCTAAGGCTCCACTACCCCGACAGCTCTGGACGCTTCCAGTCAGTCCTGTCTCAGAAGGGCCGGCGTTCTTGCCCAAGCCTTGAGCCAAGGTCAGCCGCAGGGTGGATAGAAGCCCCGGGCCCGGGAGGAGCCCTGATGCCCCTGCTCGAGACCCCGGAGCCGGACCTGGAACCAGAGGTGCGGCCTCGCGCTCCGCGCGTTCCAGAACCCTGCCCGGCCGGCTCACCGCGCAGAGCATGGCGAACCCTGCGCATGTTCCGGCCGACGGCCGCCCCAGCCCAGGAACTGCGCCGCCACGAGGCCGGCCTGGGTGCGCCAGCCCGCCCAGCTCCGAGGGCTCGGCAAGGGCTCGGCGTTGTGGGTGGGCTCTCTACAGCAGCCGCACTGGCGCCGGTCGGGTCGGCGAGCCCCAGAGAAGGCCCGATCTCTCCGCGCGATCGCGGCGCTTCGTGCAGGTGACCCGAGCGCCACGTTCGATAGGAGAAGAACGTTTAACTTACTCTTCCACAGAATCGAAGATTCATCGTAGTACTTAGGCAACGAGGGGCCGGCTTGGGCCGGGCTCCGGGCTCCGCTGTTCTGGCCTGGGGCCGCGGGAAGGATATAAGCTCTCATTTCCCTCGGGGCGCGCGGGAGAGCCTCCGATCGGCCTGGGCTCTACCGCGGCTGTGCCCCGCGCTCCAACGTTTGTTGATCGTACAAATGAACGAATGTAGGCCTGGAAAGTTTTCGCACAAGGGGCAGGGAGAAATTGGAATGCGAACGGGTGAGTCGTTAGCATGAAATAGGTTCCCTTTATATTCTTGCTTGTTTCCAAGCACTTAGGTGACCCCGGACCCGCGAAATTTGCGAAAAGGATCTTAAAGCTGAGGTGATGAGGGCGAGGCAGACTGAGTTCAGGATTTGGCAAAGCCTACGGAGGGAGAAGGGGAGGTAGGGGGTTTGGAGGATCGCCTGAAGGCCGAGAATAGGAGCAGACGTAGCCAACTGGTGGTGCCTGCCTTGCGGACGGAGGCTGCAGGTGTTGAGGGGAGGGCAGAATCGTAAGCAGAAACTCGTACGGTGGCTACCAAGGTTGAGCGTGGGAACTTTACAGAACACCCTCGGAACAAACTGTTGCAAGCCGGGAGGAAGTGGAGATCTTAGGTAGAGAGATGGGACGGAAATGAGAAGCTGGGGTAAAAACGGTCAATTACACGGCTCTAAAAACGTCTCTCTGTGTGTTCCCTCCCTCCTGGAAAGAGAAATTCACACCTGGGACAGGGTAGTAGACGAGGGGGAACCAGCTTACATTCACGGAGGAACTTCTTCCAAACCCACAAGGAATACGATTCCTTTGAAACCTGAGCCCTGCGCAGGACCGCAAGAGCTGCAGGGTCTCTAGAAATTCGCTTTTTCTGGCGGGAGTATTTCTTAATGGACATCTTCGTTTTGTTTGCCTCCCTCCCTGAAACCGAATTCAGTGAAACCTTCCTGTTGACAATGTCCTTTCAGATTTTTTTTTAAACTTCTTTCTATTCTAAAGAAAGGGAATAAAAGTTTGTAGAAAATACTCAGGGTTTTCTTTTATTTTTAAAAATTTTATTTATTTATTTATTTATTTTTATTAGTTGGAGGCTAATTACTTTACAATATTGTAGTGGTTTTTGTCATACATTGACATGAATCAGCCTACACAGGGTTTTCAAAACTGCAAATGTCCAGGATCCGAATGCTTCGTTTGTTATTTCCCTTTTCTCTGGGCTCTAGTTTTTAAATTTCTGTTCTTAAATTGCATTTTATTTTTCCTGAATAAACTTTGGCCACTACATTTAAGATTCACCTCATATCACCCTTCAGTTTATTTGGGAGAAAAATCAATGCTTTAGAAAGACGGAAAATAAATGGAGAATATATAGTTAGATGACCTCCAATTATTTTTTATTTATAGATTTCATAAATACTAAATCCCACATTTTAAAAGCGAGGATTTTCTCAACTTCAAATATTCGCAAGTTTTAAAAACCATTTTGAAAATAGATTTGTTTCTTATGTCCATAATGAATATGGATTATAAAACTAAATTGTTTAATTGAGAGGAAAGAACTAAGTTTTAAAAGTTCTAAATTCCACTTGGAAGGCGAAATAACATAAAATAAACAATGTCGTGTAGTGATTTGGCACTTTATTTAGTCTGTACAGTTAGGTTTAATGTTAACACTGTTCCACGGAAGATGGCACATCAGACACACAGGAAATAAATCCTCTGAAATTAAAATTCTACTCATTAAACATCAATTTCAGGAAGATATAAAGGGCACAAGCATTCTGCACTGGACTTGGGAATAATACTTGCAGTTTCTACGAAGTGAAGACGGAGGAAACATGTGCATTGGACGATTTACTTTCTGCTTTTCTTTTAACACCAGAACAAAACGCCCCACTTCATAGTTCCTCTGGAAATGTGCGAATAGGAAAAGCCTTGAAATTCAGGACTGGAGTCTGCAAAAGAAATGGCTGACGCCATGCGAACCGAAATTTGTGGTTGCCCGGCTGCAGGATTCTGCAAGCCTGGTCCCGGCTGTGCAAAGTGAAGTGCGCCATGGCGAAGACATGACGACCTCGGATGGCTCCGCCCTCCGGGTTGGCTCCCCGTCCGCCTCACTGAGTCGACTCCGGGACAGGTGTGGATGCTATTCAAAAGGCCGGTGAGGTCCCCTTTCCGCCCGAAAGGGCGACCAGCGACGTCAGCCTAGAACCCTTTTCTCCGGACTGACACCCTAGCTGCGCCTAGGTGGCGGACAGGTGAGGGCCCAGCAGAGCGCCCTTGCTGGGAGCGCAGCCGCTGGTACAACAATCCTGCTGCTGCTGCTGCTGCTGCTGCTGCTGCTTCAAAATTGTCCGGGCAGCGGATGCGGCGGCAGCAGCGGCAGCGGATACGTGGAGCAAAGGGGCAGCGGCCTGAGGATGCAACAGGCACGACGAACGCTGCAGCAGGTGGCAGTAACCCCACGGGGTCGGGGGCAGACTCTGCGCAGCGCCTGCACCCGCTCCCGGGACCCCTTGCATGATACTCTCGATGCTGAAGGAGGTGCATCCGCCAGCTGGCCGCGACGCCGGCCCCTTGCTCTCTTCCCATGGCTGGGAGTCTAACGTGGGCTGCAGCGCCGGAAGGGCGCCGGGGGTCCCCAGATCCGCGCCTTGCGCTTTCCTGGGAACCTCAGCGTAGGCCGGGGCGGAGAGCAGCAGGTAGCGGAGGGGGTGAGGATGTAGCAGCGCGCACGGGCGGCTCCCGGGGGTGGAGGCGGTATAGACCCCAGGGACAGGCTGCGGCGGGGTCGGTGACCCGAGCAGCATGCCCGGGTAGGAGCCGTGCAGGGCAGCGGGTGCAGCGGGTAAGGGGAAGGGGTGGTGCAAGTGGGCTCCGGAAGGTGGGTGGTGGCGCTTGAAGCGCTTCCTGCGCCGAAGGAAGCTGCCGTTGTCGAACATGTCCTGGGAGGCGGGGTCCAGGCTCCAGTAGTTGCCCTTGCCCGGGTGTCCTGGCTCGCGGGGAATCTTGACGAAGCAGTCGTTGAGGGAGAGGTTGTGGCGGATGCTGTTCTGCCAGGCGGGGAACTTGCGGCGGTAGTAAGGGAAGCGGCCACTGATGAAGGCACAGATGCCGCTGAGCGTGAGGCGCTTGTGCGGGCTCTGCAGAATGGCCATGGTGATGAGCGCGATGTAAGAGTAGGGGGGCTTCGCCGGCTGCTGGGCGTCCCGAGAGGCCAATGCAGACCCCGTCGAGACCCCGAACTTGGGGCAGAATTCGGAAGAGTTGCTTGGGCCGCCGCTGCTCTCGGTGTGCTCTCCGGGAAGCGCGCCAGCGATAAACCGCGCCTCCTGTGGCTGCGGCTGGTGCAGAGGCTCTGGGAACCGCTGGTTTCCCTCGGGTTCCTCATCTTCCTCCTCTTCATCTTCCCCTTCTCCCAGGATATTGATCTCACAGTCTTCCCCATCGGAACCCCGGAGGCTGCGCGGAGGTGTGGGGCGAAGGCGCTCAGCTCTAGGCAAGTTCATGGAGGAGCAGGCTCTGCAGATTCCGGGGAGGTAGCGGCCGCTCACCTGGCTCCGGGCTGGAAGCCTGTGTTGAGTGTTCCAAGAAGCGGAGACGCTCGAGGTCCCCCTTGTAGTGGTGGTCTTTTACTTCTGTCGATTTGTCCTTTCCTGCACCGTCCGGCAAAGACGCACTTTCCCTTTTATTGAAGTTTCTGGGTCCTTGTGTGATGGACTCTGCCGCCCCTCTTCAGACCCTTTTTCGCCCTACTTCAGAGCGCCCTTCCTTCCTCCCAACGCAGTGCAGTGATGAGGGTCCTTTGAGCATTACCGGACACGACAAGAGCCTTCAGCCTCCTCCTCCTTGCACCCACCCGCCAGCATGGAAGGTGCTTCACTCCTCAAGATCAGCCGGCCAATCGGGCCGGGAGTTGCATAGGCTCTGTTAACGCGCTTTGAAAACCTCTCAAATGAAAATGCGGGGGCGGGGGGTGTAAGAAAACATATACCCAACAATCTAAGGCCACATCGATATTCAAACCTGTCTCTTGAAGGATAAAAATAAGAGGCGGGAGAAGACACTGAAAGGTATAGGGTGTTTAACTGTAAAAGAATGTGTAACAATAAATGTTTTTGTTTCATGCTTAGTCACCCATTTTCATTGGTGGGTTCTGTCCTCCATGATAAGAGCTGAAATAAGGAGTTGAAATATTTTTAATCTTCTAACTACACTCCCCAGCTCAAGAGTGGAGTGTGAGAGTGTTGCCTTGTCCCTACTACCGCCTATCTCAGCTTCCCAAAATCTTCTCCATGATTCAAGTTTTCAGAAGACTGAAATATCCTGCCATGAAGTTGTGGAAGTTCAGGGTGGAGGGAAAAGCAGGAGGGCTAGAGAGAAGTCCCCTTCCAGCAGTGATTCTCAACTTCTTTGAACATTTAACCTCAGTATGAAATACATTTTATACCATGATCTTGCATACAGACTTATATAACTGAGGTGAGTTTCATAAAACAGGTGATTTTTTTTTTAATGGCCATGACCAACTAAATTGTACCAACTAACCAGTACAAACCCAGTTTGAAATATCTTTTACCAAAATGGCCTGACAATTCCAAAGGATACACCCAGTCTGAGACTCAGTCTTTCTCTTCTTTAAAACAAGAACCAACATTAAGCACTTTTCACTGTAATAATAAATGATAATCATGAAACTTAAATGAGGCAAAAGAGGGGGGCAGTTTTGGTGTCTAACTAAATCACCAGGTCATCATTCCTTACTCACACTGGACAGAAACAAGGTGACAGAGATGCTCTATTTCAGTCATTTGCCATCCTTGGAAGTAACATGATTTTTAGATTTGCATCATTTAAACTGGTTCAGAGAATAAAGTAGCAGTGTTCAGTGCAACATAATTTAATGTGCATTATGGTAAAATACCAAGAAATAGTATATATTCATAACTTCAGTCAGTTCAGTCGCTCAATCATGTCCAACTCGAACTTAATACCTCCCTAACCTTCAAAAATTTGAGGTGGCATCTAATAAAAATGCAGAATGAAAATATTGTACTATGCCACTGATTGTTATTGATAGATGGTAAATCTTCTATTACAATTTGAAAAATGACAATTTTCAGCGAGAAATCAGAAGTCGGCCAATATAACAAAAAATATTAAAGAAGTTAGTTTCCTCAGGATAAAATTTTGAAAACAGCTTTCTTACTAGTCTTTTTAAAGTTTTATCCTCTACTTCTGAGGTGTTTACCCTCTAAGTCTTCTCAGTTGCATGCAGTCTAAAATAGAACAAATAACATAAGTTTTCAAGCCTAACAGATTTGTGCTTGAATCCCAAATTAACCAATTACTACATGTGTGACCTACTCAGCTAAGCTTCAGGAGGGCTGGGACAGGTGTCTTTTTCAACCTTTGATTCCCTGATTGCCTCCCCCTCAACCCCCTGCAGGTAAGGCACTTTTCTTCATCAGCACAGGAATCCGATTACCTGGGAAAGGGGGCATTGTTAGTTTTCCTAGAGTCAACTTCTATGGGGATTGGGGTTATTTAAAAATGAAAGGAGAAAATTGAGGACACTCTTAAAAAAAAAAAAAAACTACCTCCACTGATAAAAGTATGTTAAAGGGGGCACTGGGAAACAAGAAAGAGCTCCCAATGGCCAGAACCGGGACAATCTGAGCAACAAAATAAAGTAGGACTAGCTTGTTAACCAAAGTAAAAAAAATAGAAGACTGAGTAAAGTAATACATGGGCAGAAGGAAGAAGGCATGTGTGCATGTTCAGTTGGATCTGACTCTGCAACCCTATGAACTGTAGTCTGCCATGCTCCCCTGTCCATGGGACTTTCCAGGCAAAAGTACCAGAGTAGGTTGCTGTTTCCTCCTCCAGGGAATCTTCCTAACCCAGGGACTGAACCTATGTCTCTGGTGTCTCCTGCATTGCAGGCAGATTCTTTATCCAGTACATGGAGGTAAAAATGCAAATCTCCCTTGCAGAAAAATTCCAGATATATTATGTAGATATTCCACCCTTTAGGAGGTGGAGCATAACCCCCCAATCTTTTACTGTAGGCAGTGCACAATGACTTCCTTCCAAACAGAACCTCATGAAGTGTGGGGAGACAGAATAAGTTACCTTGGAGAAACCTAACAGAGGTTTCACTCAGGTTTTAGGTAAAAATGTCAACACCAACAATCATAAATCACATTGATAGTATGTACCCTTGATATCAGGTAACAGTAAATGTAATGTAACTGTAATAACACTACTAACTGTAATGTGGTATCCCGAGTGAGATCCTGGAACAGAAAAAGGGCATTAAGTGCAAACTAAGGATATCCAAATAAATTATCAGTTCAGTGAGGTTGCTCGGTTGTGTCTGACTCTTTGCGATCCCATGGACTGCAGCATGCCAGGTTTCCCTGTCCATCACCAACTCCTGGAGCTTGTTCAAACTCATGTCTATGGAGTCGGTGATGCCATCCAACCATCTCATCCTCTGTCATTCTTTTCTCTTCCTGCCTTCAATCTTTCCCAGCATCAGGGTCTTTTCCAATGAGTCAGTTCCTCACATCAGGTGGCCAAAGTACTGGAGTGTCAGCTTCAGCATCAGTCCTTCCAATGAACATTCAGGACTGATTTCTTTTAGGATGAACTGGTTGGATCTCCTTGCAGTCCAAGGGACTCAAGAATCTTCTCCAACACCACAGTCCAAAAGCATCAATTCTTCAACGCTCAGCTTTCGTTATAGTCCAACTCTCACATCCATACATGACTACTGGAAAAACCATGGGTTTGACTGGACCAAACTTTGCTGGTAATGTAATATCTCTGCTTTTTAATATGCTGTCTAGGTTGGTCATAGCTTTTCTTCCAAGGAGCAAGCATCTTTTACTTTCATGGCTGTAGTCACCATCTGCAGTGATTTTCGAGTCCCCCCCTCCAAAAAAGTCTGTCACTGTTTCCACTGTTTCCCCATCTATTTGCCATGAAGTGATGGGACCAGATGCTATGATCTTAGTTTCTTGAATGTTGAGTTTTAAGACAGATTTTTCATTCTCCTCTTTCACCTTCAAGAGGCTCTTGAGTTACTCTTCACTTTCTGACACAGGGTGATGTCATCTGCGTATCTGAGGTTACTGATATCTCTCCCAGCAATCTTGAGTCCAGCTTGTGCTTCATCCAGTCCGGCACTTCACATGATGTATTCTGCATATAAGTTAAATAAGCAGGGGTGACAATATACAGCCTTGACGTACTCCTTTCCCAATTGGAACCGATCTGCTGTTCCATGTCCAGTTCTAACTGTTGCTTGTTGCCTTGCATACAGATTTCTCAGGAGGCAGGTAGGGTGGTCCAGTATTCTCTTCTCTTTAAGAATTTTCCACAGTTTGTTGTGAAAGTGCTGCACTCAGTATGCCAGCAATTTTGGAAAACTCAGCAGTGGCCACAGGACTGGAAAAGGTCAGTTTTCATTACAATCCCAAAGAAAGGCAATGCCAAAGCATGCTCAAACTACTGCACAATTGCACTCATCTCACACGCTAGTAAAGTCATGCTTAAAATTCTCCAAGCCAGAGGAACCAGATATCAAATTGCTGGATTTCGATGATCGCTGGATCATCCAAAAAGCAAAAGTTCCAGAAAAATATCTATTTTTGCTTTATTGACTATGCCAAAGCCTTTAACTGTGTAGATCACAATAAACTGTGGAAAATTCTGAAATAATAAATGAACTGTGAAATAAACGGTGGAAAATTCTGAAAGAGATGGGAATACCAGACCACTTGACCTGCCTCTTGAGAAACCTGTATGCAGGTCAGGAAGCAATAGTTAGAACTAGACATGGAACAACAGACTGGTTCCAAATAGGAAAAGGAGTATGTCAAGGCTGTATATTGTCACCCTGCTTATTTAACTTATATGCAGAGTACATCATGAGAAACACTGGACTGGAGGAAGCACAAGCTGCAATCAAGATTGCCAGGAGAAATGTCAATAACCTCAGATATGCAGATGACACCACCCTTATGGCAAAAAGTGAAGAACTGAAGAGCCTCTAGATGAAAGTGGAGAGTGAAAAAGTTGGCTTAAAGCTCATAGTCCAACTCTCACATCCATACATGACCACAGGAAAAACCATAGACTTGACTAGACAGACCTTTGTTGACAAAGTAATGTCTCTGCTTTTAATATGCTGTCTATGTTGGTCATAACTTTCCTTCCAAGGAGTGTTTTTTAGTTTCATGGCTTCAATCACCATCTGCAGTGACTTTGGAGCCCAGAAAAATAAAGTCTGATACTGTTTCCACTGTCTCCCCATCTATTTGCCATGAAGTGATGGGACTGGATGCCATGATCTTAGTGTTCTGAATGTAAAGAAAGCTGAGCGCCAGAGAATGATGCTTTTGAACTGTGGTGTTGGAGGAGACTCTTGGGAGTCCCTTGGACTGCAAGAGATCCAACCAGTCCATCCTAAAGGAAATCAGTCCTGGGTGTTCATTGGAAG